AAGGCTTAGCATGGACTGGATTCCTAAGAACCTTTGCCAATGGCAAGATGCTGCAAGGTGCTTCGGAGAATATAGATTTTTTCCCAGGGTAAATTAAGAAAGGAGAGACAGGAAGGAAGGAACTTAAGTAAGGAGAGGAGAGGAAAACTTGAGGAGCGGGTGCTATGTGCGGCAGACAGATTCCCAAATTACCCGGAATTTGATCCTATCCAGGACTTTAAACCCACCATGACCACCTCCTACTTCTTTCTCTTCCTCCTCCACTGGGTGCTTCTAACTCAATGAATTCTCCATGAATTTGCCCAAATAAAGGAGGAAAGGTCGCCTAAACCCGTAGGCATACCCGTCTGTCCCGCAAGCGGTTGAGGTAGTGGTATGGCCGGCAGCGGGTAATGTATGCGGCAGAGGCTCGGAGCCCCACGTAGGCTGGCGCTGCACACCCCCCCATCCCCGTCTGCTGACCTCTGCATGATCCCGGACTCTATGAATTATTGATGAGATATGAGCGTTGATTTCCCCTTTCAGGATGCAAACTCCATTATATTGTTAAAATAGCGATTTAATCGTTGAGAATAGCTTTGGTGTGGGTTTTTCCCCCCAACTCATTTGCACCTCCTTCCTTTTCATTTAACTCTCTTAATTAAATCCTTTAACAGATTTTAATCACTTTTTGGAGGGAAGGATAGGAGGGAAGGGAAGGCCACAAGACCACCATCATCAACAACAAATGGGTCACCAAAACAACCAAACAAAACAATCTTGAAAAGCTTCAGGAAGCTTCTACCTTTGGGAAGTTGGAAGGAAGGAGAGGAGGGCCATTAAGTCTGGGACCCTCCACCAGAGACAGCATCAGAGGACTAGGAAGACAGACCTGAATAAGGAAGAGACATTAGGAGGGGTGTCTAACCTACCCCTTGGAGATTTGGGGTGGGAGGTGTCAGATTGCAGCAACCAAGTCAGGCTTACCCTTGCAGAGAAGTCCAGGGACTTTAAGCTTGGGAGGGTCACAGGATTCTTGTGGGAAGCAACTCTCCTATCTGGGCCTCAGGGATACTTAGGGAGAAATGTCCAAGTCTCCTTAAAGGGTCTCCATTGCTCCCCTCCCCCTTCCCAAACAGCTCAGTTTCCATGTGGTGTCTGGGTTAATTAATATGGATGTGTAACTGCGCTGCAGCAATCGATAAACCCTGCTGTGGGCAGATCCCAGCCTCAAAATCCAATTACTCTAAAAACCTCCAAAAAATGAATAAAGTGACCAGTCGTGCCTATTCCTAAAAAGGGGGGAGGGGAGATTCTTCTTTGCCCTGTCCTCTCAGATTGGCCTGGTAGATTCCAGGCTGTGATGCTTATATTCAAGGAAAGCAGGCCCGGGAAGGCACTGAATTTGGAGATGCGTGCTGAGCACTGTCTGCCTTTTCCTTTGCTTCAAATCCTTGGCTTCTCTCCCAGGATCCAGATCCCAGGGATAAAAGAACCAGGCGGGGAAAGAAACTGGCCTTTGGTTCTCCGGTTCTGCCCTCTCACAGCCAGGGAAGGGTTAAGTGTCCCTGCTGCAGTTATGGAGAGGAAGCTGATGAAATATGGGCACTTGGAACTCCAGGCTGGGCTGGCTTTCCTGTTTACACTTCTTTATACTTCCTCCCATCCCTGTGGCCACAGAGAAACAAAACAAAACAAACAATCAAATAAAACAAGACAAAATCAAATTGTCCTTCAAGTGGTGGCCAGGCTGGGCTCTGCCCCTAGGGTAGACAATTTGGAGAAAGGGTGCTAGCTTGGGTTGTGGCTCAGGGGTTGAGGCCTAGACACGTGGGGGGAGAGGAAACCATAGGGGAGGAGAAGAGATCTGGGGGCAGTCAGTGTAAAGCAGTGCGTTCAGAGAGGAAATGGAGACGACAGGAGGTGGAAGAGAGGGGTGGAAGAGAGGAAGAAGAATGTGGAGCGGGAAGGGAAAGGAGAAAAAAAGGAGGAGGAAGAAGAAAAGGAGAGGAAGTGAGGAGGCAGAGGCAGTACAGGTCAGATCTCTGTACCAGAAATCCGCCCATGCTCTTCATCCTCTTCCCCAACTTGCCCTGGCTGCTGTCCAGCTAGGGAAAGAGGAAGACCACTAGGGCCTTTCCTCTGAGATCTGCTCACAGTCCTAGGACACCTTCCAAGGTGGTTGTTTCTGAAGGAAAATGGGCACTCGAGCTTGGGGACCGTTCTTTGCCATTTTGAAAAATTGACTCAAGTATGCGCCATAGATGTCTCAAGGCTGTCGGCCTCGAACATTCTATCAGAGTTTACAAAACTGACACGCAAAATGGAGGGAGGACGTTTGTCAGGGACAACCCTGGTTCTCTAGAGTTTTAGGACCCTAGGAAGGATAGAGAAAGAAAGAGAGTGAGCCCAGAACAAACTAGGAGAAAGGATTCTCTTGTTATCCCCAGGTTCGATGCTGCTGCTGTTTCCTGTCTCCTTTGCACTTCTCTCCACTGCTTTGAAGCCTTCAGAAGCCAAACCTCCAAATCGTATTCATATTTTAAGTGCTGCTGGCACCCTTTGATCCTTTGGGAGTGGAAACAAGTGTCCTTTACAAGGGGTATAAATGTCTATCCTTCTTAGGGAGATGCCTGGGTGAGGATCCCAAGCCCTTGGTCTCTTTTCTCTGCTTTTAAAGCTCATTGGGGGTCACCTATAAGTTGGATGTGGGTAAGGAATGGTGAGGGAAAAAAAAACAGAGAAGAATAAGGGGCAGAACAAGCAAGGAGAGGGAGAGTATCAATGTCCGCTTCCTGGAAACAGGAAAGCCCAGTGGCCCTTCTTTGTCAGAGATCAGAAGCCCCTCAAAAAATGTCAGCTCCTAGCTGAGGGATTATCCACCAGAGTTGGTGAACCAAGAGACAGTGAACTAGAAAGCAGGACCACCAGAGTCATTGGCCTCAGAGATCTTAATTAAGAGGGTGGGGAGACGCATCCAGAAGAGTGGCTTTTCCTTAGAAAACAAGGTTCCCATGGAGGGGGCAAATTTGGAAGTCCCTCTGGTTTGTGGTGCTACAAAACAAAGACACCATTCACAGTCCAGAGGGGAAGGAAGAGGAAAGAGAAAGTCCCTTTGGGGACCTGTGTTCCTGGGCAGGTTGTATTTGTGGCAGGCTAGTTAGTCCTACCTATGTCCTCCAGACCTGGATGGAAGCTCTGTTCTTTCACACCCCTGGTCAGAAATTAGACCTGGAACTGAAGGCTATGAACCCCCCCTCTGTCTGCTTCTCATTTTGATTCAAGCTCCTTCTTGGAAGCCAGCAAAAGAAATCAAATTGAGACCAAAAAGCTGAAGTTGGGTGTGAAAGCACTGGGCTCCCCCATTCTAGATAAGCCTGAGGGGACCATAGGGAGTACAGGGGTTGAGATTTTTATGGAAGTCAGACACCCTAAACCCAGAAATCATCCTAGGAAAAGGTGGCCAACAGCAGCAGCCTTTTCCTGGTCCTTCCTCTCTCAAACACACCCAGGTAAAAGTGCCCGCCAGCCACCAACACATCCCAGACAAACAAATCTCACATTTCTTTCCTGGGGATTAAGGGGAGAGGTACCTGAAGGTAACCAGCAGAGAAACACCCCTCCACCACCCCCAAGCAGTTTACACTCCCTCCTTCTTAGCCCCTCATTTTCAGATATTGAAGGAACATGGATCCCACATGACTCCCTTTCTCCACAGAGCCCGCTGCTCCCGTAAATGAACAGCAAACACCTCCCACCATTGAAGCTTTACAGAACCCAGCCCTCGCTTTAAGCACAGAACTGTTCAATTCCCCCTGTATCATTCTACAGCCCTACTGGAAACAAAAATTTCTTCTCCCATTCCAAGCCCCAAAACTGCAAGGGAAAGAAGCGAAAGCTGCAAGCGACTTACTGTGGAGTGCTGGGCCTGGGCTCTGGCCACTGCCTTCCTGGGCTTTTCCGACTGCTCTAAACTGGAAGAGCGCTCACCTACCTCTGCCCCCTTCCCCACCACAGTGAGCAGTTAAAGTGTCACTTAACATTCTGGAGAATGTGAAATATACCGCGCGGTGTCAACTCCCCAAAACCATAAAACTAACTTTATGGACCTCACGTGACTTTCTCGAGCCAGTGAGGGGTATCTGTCTGACTTCTCGGCGATTTTTACGATCTAACTTCGAGATAAAACCCCTATCCATTTGACATCTAAATGTCATAGCGACTTTTGGGATAGTTTGCTTTCGGCAAAGGGGGACAAAGTCATGGGGTGAGAGGGAAGGAGGGCCCAAAACACCCTCCAAGACCCTCACCATCTCCTCACCGGCCCCCCTCCCCCCAGGTCCTGTAAGAAGTTGGGCCCAGCTGGAAGGGATTGACTGGGTAAGTGTCCACACTTAACTCTTATGTTCAGGGTGGAGGCTGAACTGGATGGAAGAAGACTGGGCCTGGTCCTGAACCAGGCTGGAGGGGGAACCAGGGGTTCTCAGGAGGAACCCTAACCAAGAGAGGAAGGTCAGTCCGGACCCCTGGAGAGAAGAACCCCTTGAAAAGTGCAGAGAAGGCCAAGCCTTGTCAAGAAACCTTTGAAATTGAGCCGTTTTGTTTTGTTTTGTTTTGTTCCTTTCCTGGGTGGCTGAGCTGAACTGGGGTTTTGGAACAGGAGACAGGGCATCTGGGCAGGCCTTTGCCAGTCTCGAAAGACCAGGAGCCTTACTGCTCAGGACTTTGGTCCAAATAACTCTTCCTGGTGCATTTTTTCAGAGGCTTTCCAGCCCAGCTGGAGGGAAGTCAGGATGGAGTCCAGCTAAGGCCTGTGTGAAATCTCTGGGCCTCTCAGCACCCCAGGCATGAAGGCCTGTCTCCTGGTCCAAGCTAGGAATCTAGGTGGCTTCCAGGGGTTTCTGGTGGTCATCCTATTTTCCCTTCCCTATGCCCTAGATTTATGGAAGATGGTCTTAGGAGAGTTTGTGCCCAATGGTGAGAGAGGCAGACCCTCAGAGAAAAGACAAGTGGGAAGGCAATGGAGTAGGGGAAACATTTATTTGACTTCAAGGAAAGCTACAAACATACCAAAAGCTAATCACTGAGACAGGCTTGGCAAGGACATATTTCACAGGTAGCACAGCATCCACTTGCCTACTACAAATGGTCTTGAAAGCAAAATGGGTAAGGAAAAAAGTCACTGGCCTGACCCCTACTATCCCCATATTTACAAGCTTTGGGCCTTTTAGTCTGACCCACAGAGTCACAGAGAAAATCACAAGACATTTTACATTGAGGATTATTTCTGATTCCAGACACTCCCGGACCAGGCCTTGTGGGGCCTACCAGGCAGCAGGCGCTTAACTCTGACCCTTTTCCTCCTCTCTTCTCAACATCCCCACTTAGGTCCTTCCCCAGGAACAAGCCACTGGGAGACCTGGGCCTAGGGAGGATGAGGTGCATGAAAAGAGACACAATCATAGACTCCATTTCTCAGGCCAGCTCAGCTGGGCCCAGCACTACCCAACCTCAGCTGCTGTCCCTTATGGAAGTTTCCAGCTGAAACTCAAAATACAGCCACCATCCTTTTATAAATAAGTTAGGACACAGACAGAGAGGGCAAGTCACATTAAACATGCGAATTTCCTTTTCTTTTCTTTTTCCTGGGGAAAGGGATGCACCCACAGATACAAGGACATTTAGAAACACTGGCAATTGGGGGCAAGCCGAGGGAAGTGGGGAGCATGGAGGGGAAACAATAATAATAATTATTATTATTAACAATAATAACAAGATAAACAGTCCAGGAGAGAGGGAGCCATGGGAAGACCTAAGACCAAACGAAAAACTGTAACACAAGGCTAGGGTGAGACAGGCTCGTGGGAACAGGTCCCCAGCGGGCAGCGGCAGTGCAGGGAGGATTGGAAGGGTCGGGAAGGGGTGGTGCCGGCTCTTGGGCCGCCCAGGGCTCCTCCGGATGGGCTCATGGTTGGAAGGCGCTGCCGGCTGTAGCCAGGCTCATACTTTTCAGTTTGTTGTCTTTCTTCCACTTCATGCGACGGTTCTGGAACCAGATTTTGATCTGACGCTCGGAAAGGCAGAGCGCGTGGGCGATCTCGATGCGTCGCCGCCTGGTCAGGTAGCGATTGAAGTGGAATTCCTTCTCCAGCTCCAGGGTCTGGTAGCGAGTATACGCGGTCCGGGCCCTTTTTCCGTCTGGCCCTGTCATATCTAGAGCAGTTAAAGAAGAGCCCAGAGGCAACGTTATTCCAGTTAAAGGAGGGGGCACTGAGTGGGAGGGGGCGGGGAGCAGGACCCAGGCTTCCCCAGCACCCAGCTCACGGCAGCTCCAATCCTCCTCACTCCAGGTGCCCGAATCCACCCTCTATTTCTTCATCCCCTTCTCTAGCAGCCCCCACTTCTGGTGGTGGTGAATGCTACCGGCTTTGTCTCTTGCTCCTTCTCAGTGCCTCACCCTAGGCTGGTTCAGGCTGGCCATTAGCCCCGGAAAAGAGGAGAGCGGCTTCACTTTAGCCCTAGAAAGCTCCGTTTACAGCCCATTCCTCCTTTGCTAGCAGCAGTCTCAAAATTTCGGGAATAAACAGGACCCTTCCCCACAATACACAAATCCCATCTTTCATCCTAAAGCCGGTGACTGGCTGGGTAAATAAAACCCAAGCTGAGCGTGGCAACAAATTGTTTTCTAAAATGCTCACCCTCAGCAAAAGACACTGTTTGGCTCTCTCTATGGAGCTGTAGGGACCCTTTTTGGACACTTCTCCCTCTTGGGGTGGGGGGATGAATCTGTTTTTGAGGTAAAGTCAAGCTGTCCTCAACCCCCCACCCCCAACACAGGGCAGGGATGCGGCGAGGACAAAAAAGAGATGGAGAATTACCGTGGCTGATGTGAAGCTTCCTCATCCAGGGAAATATCTGTGGAGTCTGCCCCTCGGGCGCGGCTGTAGAGGTGGCCATGGGCTCTGGCTGTGCCCGAGCCAAGCTCGGGCTGCTTAGCTGGCTTGCTGCTTCCTCGGGCTCGGAGGACGCGCTGGCCTCATCTATTTCGGTGAAATTGGCGCTGGAGCTGGCTGGGGTCGCCTGGTCGGAAGGGGACGAAGCAGCGGGTTTGGCGCCGTGGCTGTCGCCGTTGGTGCAGGGCAGGGACTCGGGCGAGGACAGGGAGCAGCTGGACGTCGCCTGCCTGAAGCGGGGCTCCTGGGCTGAAGCGGGGAAGGCGCGCGAGCTCTCGCCCACCGCCCCAAAGTGGCTGGAGGAGGCCGAGGAGCGGTTGACGCTGAGATCCATCCCATTGTAATTGTAGCCGTAAGAGCCGGTGTGCATGGCAGCGGGATCCCTGTAAGAGCCGCTCAGAGAGCTGCCACTGCCATAATTTAGCAACTGATAGTCCGGGCCATTTGGATAACGCCCCGAGAAGGAGTTTACAAAGTACGAGCTCATTTGGGTGATTTTGGAGGGCTTGATTTGTGGATCGTGGTCGTTATAACCCTGTGCTTCACGATTTATGATGTATTAATGAATTATAGCGATGCACTGTACTTCGTTTTGCTATGTATGCGGCCAAATATGGGGGGGGTTGGAAGGGGGATGGGGGGGCGTTAGGGAATCACGTGCTTTTGTTGACCAGTCGTAAATTCTCGCTGATGACCTCAAGAGGTAATTCATGCTCTATGGTTACAAATAATGACGATCCGAGAATCGTTAGGGCCGATTCAATGCGAGCCTCCGAGAGGGGGGGAGAAAGAGAGAAGGGGGAGAAACAGGGAGAAGGTTGGTGTTGGCCTCTGAGCAGAGCGCGCCACCTCCCGGCGATTGATGGGAGCGCGGGCCGCAGGCCGCCATGGCGGCGTCCGCAGCCTCCCAGCTAGCTCTGTGCAACCGTCAAGCAAGAAAGAAACCCGGCCCCGCGGCTCACCCATAGGGTTGAACCTTTAGGAAGATAGGTTTGAGTCTTTTGCCCACTTTGCTAGAGTGCGGTTATTTCCTCTATTTATGTCCTTCTCTCTGACATTATTACCATCATTTGTTATCATCATCATCATTATTATTATTATTATCATCAGCATCTCTGGATAGTGTGACCAGGGATTTAGTTGCCTGACCTTCCCTCCTTAAGCTTTACCAGTGCCCAAGTTTGGTGAGGAAATGGGGGGAAGGGTTAGAAGTTGTGTGTGAAAACCAGTTATCTCCCTTAGCTCAGCCAGGCCTCCTTCCTGGTGAAGCTTCAGTGGCAGGTCCACAGCACCAGAGTCGCAGGGCTGGACTGGAGGCTGCAAGAGGCAGGGAAGCTCTTCGTTGTCCTGGGCCCCTGGGAAGTTTGAAATGCTCCTTTTGACCTCTCATCCTTAGCCTAGGTCAAGGAACCGAGCTGGACAGGTACCCTAGAAGAGGGACACAGCCGGCGACAGGCAGCCTTAAGCGGCAAAGACTAAAACGGGTGGTTTAGATTTGGGTGGTAACTCATATGTGAGAGTTTGGGGTAAAAACAGAACTCCTTTAGCAATCCCGCCAGATGCCAGCTATCGTGCTGGAGGCCAGATCCGAAGCCTTGTGTTGCTGGTAGCTAACAGTTGGAGAATTTGCACGTCCGCCTTACAGCCTTCCCGGGAAGATGGTCGGGAGACCGGCGGCCCCTTGCTGAGCCCGCTGGGCGGCCAGAGATCTCCGCAGCTGGGCCCCTTCTGCCAGGCGGCTATTTTCTTTAAAAATAAAAAAGAGAGAGAAAGAGAGAGAGAGGGAGGGAGGAGGGAGAAAGGAAAGCAGTGCTTGCAGCTTGTGGCTTGGGCGAGGGTGAGAGCAGAGAGAGGATAAACCATTTTGGGTAGAGAAGCTGAGACCAGTGCCCCATCACCTGGCCCCCTGCCCTCAGGTCTGCTAAGAGCCAGACACAGTCGGGCCCTAGGCGGCTTCCTGCCCCCGGGTTCTCATTCTCTTCCTTGCCACCGAGCTCCTACTTAATATGGGAAGGGGCACCTTGGAGCCTGTAGACGAACTATGGAGAGATGCCCAGTGGCCTCATTTTTCAGTCTCCGGAGCAATAGGCCGGGAGAGCCGAGGGCCAAGGCCGCCAGAGACAGCCATGTGGGCGGGCCAAAGGCCAGGGGCCTTGGCTAACAGAGGACAGAAAAACGCTGCAAAGGCGCCCAGACCCGCCCAGAACCGTGTCTCTAGGGCTCTGGACTAGAAGGCCTCAAGTGGCATATCTCACAACCCACAACCGAGGGCAAGCTTAGAGAACAAGAGGGAAAGGGTTTCCCTCCGTCCCTCAAGTCTGAATGGGAGAAACAATTGTGAATTTAGCACGAGGGAGGCACAACTGACGCTGGGGCCTGGGAGGACCGAGCCTCTGCTTTTGGCTCCTGCTTTTATCTCAACTGTAACTCGGAATTGAGACTGGCGGCTGGAAAGCCCTGAGGCGGGCCATGGTTCTTGCCTTTGCTGTTCAGGCTCAGGGGTGACAGGGTGGCTGGGGCTATAGAGGAAAAAAAATGGCAGGGAAGGATTGGATGTGATTGAGCTACGAGTTTTCACATCTTTATTATTATTATCATCATCATCATAATCATTATTAATATTAATATTATTACCGAAGTATTTCACGTCCAGAGCTAAGACAAGACTACAAACACAACACATAGAAAATTAATAAAATAGAACTTTGTTTTCTTCTGAGGCCCCTCTTCTTACTTCTAGGTAGTGTGTGCTCCTTCCAGTGGCTTTGGGGACGGGGTAGGAGAGACAAGTCTGGGATGAGGGAGTCTTTCAGGTCCCTGCTGAGGGACAACGAATCTACCATTGAATCGTGCACGGGGGACATGGACGAAATGAGACTCGACAAGGACAAGAGCATTCTGCTCTGCTTCCAGGAGACATCAAGTGAGTCTGATTCTCAGTTCACACCAGGGAGCCTGATGAGGCCAAGGTGGGTTCTTCGGGGAGGGAGGAGGCGCTGGGGTGTTGGGTAGGCAGCCTCCAAGCGCCCAGGAAGAGCTCTGCGGGTGGGGACGTCCCGGAGAGCGCTGGGCCCCGCCCGTCTTGCGCTGGAGAGCAAGTCCCCAGACTCCCCGACCGCAGAGCCTTCTGGGGCTTTCGGGTGCCCTCGGTTCCCCCACAGGCCTCTCCCTTCGTGTCCCCCCTCCCTTTGCAGCACCTTCACTCGGCTGGTTTTTCTTCTTCCTCCTCCGCACTGAGCTGAGACGCACTAAGCAATTTGCTCTCCTTTTTCCACTTCATGCGCCGGTTCTGAAACCAGATCTTGATCTGCCGCTCAGTCAGGCACAGGGCGTGCGCGATCTCGATGCGCCGCCGCCGGGTCAGGTAGCGATTGTAGTGAAACTCCTTCTCCAGCTCCAGAGTCTGGTAGCGAGTGTATGTCTGGCGGCCTCGCCTACCGCTGGGCCCAAAAGAGGAACCTGTTACGCAGAGAGGAGAAACTGAGGCCTGGAGTCACCACACCAAGCCCACCGCCCCCTCCCCCACTCAGCCTTCAAACGTAATGCTAGCTGCTCATCCTTCCTTTCTCCCATTCCCTGGTCCCCATTTCCCACTCCTCCAGCGCCCCCTCCAGATTCCCTCCTGGACTCCTAGGCCTGTGCTTTCTTTCTGTCTAGACTCTTGGTGGGGGGGAGGGGCAGTTGGACTCCCACCTGAGCTTAGGGGGAGGGGCTGGCCAGGTGTGTCTCCTACTAGCTGCATCTTTCCTTTCCTTTCCATCCATCCAGCTCTCCCTACCCTACTCGATGATAGATTCTGGCCCTTAATCCATAACGACGTGGATCGATTCATAGTCCACATTAACAGCTCCTCACTTTCGTGTCCGGCTAATGGACATCAATTGGGACTTGAAGCCGACAAATAATCCAACCTGAGACCCAGGCGCCGGTTTGTCCCACTCACTCCCTATGCCTGCCTGTCCTCTCTTAATTCCTCCTTCCCCAGACTACCACCCCTCTCCATCACCGATCCCTAGTGGTCTTCCCCCAACCTCAAGCCCCAGGTAAATACAGTCCAGAACCCAGTAAACTTGCCCTCGCCGGCGTCATCCCCCACCCCCATGACACACTCTTGTTTTTAAAGGAGTGATCTTTGGGTGGGGGTACCCGGGCAGATCGGGATAAGAGAGGGGGAGGACACAGAGGAAAGCAAAACCAGAGTGAGTCCCCTGTTCTCTTCCTGATCACCAATCCTAGCCCTGGCCTAACTCTCTCAGCGAGCCACTTACTCCCCCTGCCTTACTGTGCAGCTGGGACTTCTCAAACTTTGCAACTTATGAGGGCAAGAAAACCGACCTGGAGGCAGGGACCCAATCTTGCCCTATCTCCTGAGATGCTAACCTAATCCCCAGTGGGAGAATGAGGTGGAGTGGGGGTGAGGGACACTGGTTCTGCCTTCTTGCAAGCCCCCCCCCGCGGGACAGCGGGAAGTCTCACTCACTGTTGCACGAATTCATGCGTTGCATCCACGGGTAGACCGGCGTGGAGCACTTCTGTTCCTCGGTTTCTCCGAATACGCTCTTGTCCTGTGCGCAGTCGGACTTCCGCGGTTCGGGATGGAACGGAGGCGGCTCATCGGCGCCAGAGAGGGCGCAGGCCGCGTCCTTCTCCCGGTAGAAGGCAGGCGCCGGCCCGTAGTCGCAGGGCGCCGCCCGGCCATAGCCGCTGCCGGCTGGTGGGTAATAAGAGGACGCCGCAAAGCCCTTGTCCTGGCCCGGTCCCGGCCCATACGGCGCGGGGTAGTGCCGCAGCGGGTCCGCATAGCCCGATGAGTAGAGCGGCAGCTGGCCCAGGAAGGACTCCTGCCCGCTGGCCAGAGTGACGGGGAAGGTGGAGTTCACGAAATAGGAACTCATCGGGAGGGGAGGCGCGCGCGGTCGCTGCTGCTCCACCGGGTTTATGATTTGTTGTGTTTTATAGTCCGAGCGCTGCGCCTATTAGTAGTATAGCCGAGATTGGGTTTTAGCTGAGGGGGGATGGCGAGGTGCCAGTGAGGGCCAGAAGGAAATACAACCATCTGATCCAACACTGACCAATGGCAGAGGCAGGAATTGTCAAATAGCACCCAGGAGGAGCACAGCTTCACGAGGGACCAGCTCACAAACCTATCAACCTTTTTCCCCCTCCTCTCTCTCTCTCTCTCTCTCTCTCTCTCTCTCTCTCTCTCTCTTTCTTCCACCTACGTAGGATCTGCGAAAGAGGCGTCTGTGCTTTTGAGGGAGGAGGAAACATTTGGATGGAGATCACCCCATTCCCCAGTGATGAAATAAATACAGCCCTCCCCCTACCCCACGCAGGAATAGGGAAAAGTTAATTGTGTTTTCAGAAAAGTTAACCCCTGCATCGCATGGGCCCGTTCCCTTAAGGGAGGACTGGGTAAATGCCCACGAATCTCGTTGAGAGAGAATGAAGGGACAAGATCTGTTTCTAGGGCTTTGGACTGGTAAAGGGGGAACGGTGTTGTCCGCTAATTTGCTTCATTTTAGAAACAGGGAAAAAGAAACACCCTCCTTCGCAGGTTTGGAAAACCCGTCTGTCCTCTTTATCAGGTCTGTCTTTCCCCTTTTCAAGCTTAGGTTTATAACATCCCTGCTTCTACACAACTCTCAAGGTTAGAGGGGGCAAGCCGGATCCCTTTGCCTAGAGGACCCAGAAGAAAGAAATGTCAGGGGTATGTGAGCCCAAGCTTTCTCCCTCTGGCTGTTCCCCTAGGCTAGTAGCTTCTGGCAAGCCAGTCCTTAAGCCCAAAACAGCTCAGCTCAGCCTGACTGCAGTCTTGACCGGGAATGGGGCCTGAAGAAAGAAACTAACAATCCCTAAATGTGGTGATGTAGCATGTGAAGGGGTAAAATGTAACCCCCCGGCCTATGTGACTTTGTCTCTTTCTTTAGTCTGCCTACAAACCTCACTCTGTCTGCAATCAACTCATCCTCACCTCTCACTCCAAAATGATGTAAGAATAATCCCTGGCTACAGATCTTTAGAATGAGAATGTCCCAGTAAATCTAGATAGAGGGAAGAAATTGTCCTCTTAGAAATATGACCAGTCATGGTACACGACTTTAACCTCAGCACTTGGGAGGCAGAAATAGGAGTTTGAGGCCATCCTGGTCTACAAACTAAGTTCCAGGACAGCCAGGGTTACTCGAAGAAATTTAAAAAAAAAAAAAAAAAAGTGAGTCTTCAGATTGTCATATTGCAGAAGATGAGAGTCCATTGAAAATATCTTTCCTCTCTCTCTCTCTCTCTCTCTCTCTCTCTCTCTCTCTCTCTCTCCCTCCCTCTCTCTCCTGTCCTTGCTATAAATTGTCAATTCCTTTTGAAATCCCATCCCAAGACTTGGTTTAGATTTAGTTTTGTAAGGAAGGCAAGCTGCTAGGTGCTCCTAGGGACTCAGTAACCATCTTAACTATCTTTTATCCTCACCTGGCACACCTGCTCTAGCTCTCTGGATACCCACAACCCTCCTGTCTGTCTCCCAGCCACGCTCCAGCCTCATGTATGTATCATCTGCTTTCTGCTGTGAGAACTCGGGAGTGGGAGACCATATCTACGATCTCTTGCTCTCTTCCTCTCTCAAGCTGGCCGATGCACTGTATTTCTGACATTCTAATATGCACACACAGGCCAGACAGTTAAGAATAACAACTTCCCATCCAACCTGAATAAAGGGAGGATTGGGTGTGAGATGCTGTCAGATATCAGGCCAGGCTGACCCACTTCTGCCTTGTTCTTTGGGCTCCTTTTTGTGGCCCAGCTCTGCCTACTGATAATAGGAAAGGGCTGAGGATGGGTAATCAAGAATGAGGATTTATTTGGCTGCAAAGTGGCCTCTGAAGCTCTTTGAACTCAAAGCAACTGCTAGGCTGTCCTTTTGTGGCACAATGACACATCTCTGGGTGTCTGTCTCTCTGAGCCTTAATCCATGGGGTGGGGGTTTAAAGAATCTCAAACCTACTCATGATGAAGAAAGCAGAAATTTGACAATCTAGAAATGGCTGGGCCCATACTGAGAGAGGAGTAGGGGCAGTTACAGCCAAAGAATACTTCCACCCTCACCCCCATCTTGCCAATGAGCTAGGCCTTGGGCCTCTCAGTCCTTCCCCCTAGTCACAGTGCCCTCATCATAGGGAAGATAGTATAATTGCCCCTTCAAAAAATTAATTAAAAGGGTAAGAGAAGGTGAGAGAGGAGGCCTTCTCCTCTGCTCGAAGCAAGAAAATAATTGCTTTATCCTTTAGAGAATCAGCCCCCAAATTAACCTCACCTCTGCAGGTTGCCTGTCTGGAAATGGAGCCACTATGGGCAGGGCCAGGGCGCCTGGAGTCGGGCATGAAAGGAAATAGCGCCTCATCGCTCTTATCTAAGCCCAGAGGTATTTATGAGCGTTTATTCATCTGATCCGTTTGTTTGGGAAAAAGAGCAGACAGGCAGAGCTGGGCCAGAGACCGGCCTGGTTTCTGGAGCCAGATCTCTACTGATTTGTCTGTGGTTCCATGCACCTCAGTTTGTCTGTCTCCACTGGGAAATATGTAAATACACAGCAGGCATCAGCCAGTTCTCCATCTGGGTTGTTGTCCCCTTAATACACTAAGCGAGGGATGTAAATGTATACCAAGGACACAGCACAGGGGTTGCACTGATACCCCATAGGCAGGATTTATAATTGTGCTTTTCTTTGCTTTGAGTTTGCAGTCCCATGGGTAAGTACGAACATTCCAGCTCCCAGAGAAATGTTGCCTAAGTCATGTTCAGCTCAGGAGTGAAAATCTGCAGAAGATGATGATCTTAGGAATGGCATTTTCCTGTATGAGGAGAAGTTGAGACAATAGCTAGGCTTCCTATTTCCTCTAAGATACAAAGCCCCTCCCTCCAGCTCCTTGGATAGTAGGTACCTTCTCCTAACCCACCCCCAACTTTACCTGGGGTGGGAAGGATGAATATCCCTCAAACTCAATTATTCCCCCCTGGATTCTGGTTGTCTGAAATTTTCCCCAGTGGTATAATATGGTGGCTCCTACAGACTGGAAAGAGGCTCTTTGCTTGGACTCTCTGCCCTAAAATCGACTGGTCCAAAACGACAAAGACCTGATTTCCATTATGCAAATGAGCGGCATCCTCTCTGATCTTCTATGAGGAGTGGGCGAGGCAAGGCTTCTTACCATCAGTGTTTCAAGCCTCTGTGGTAGTTTGACTTCCCTCCCTATGTTTCCTTCTGGTTGCCCAAAAGAAAAAAACTCAGGAGGGCCCCAGACCTTCCTGCCAGAACCCTCGGGGCCTCCCGCAGAGCGACTCCCTAAGCCGGCCTTCCAGTCGCCAGAAAGTCACTCTGGAAGCAGAAGAGAAAAGCTTAAAGATGGGTTCCAGAGAGAGGCTCAGCCTCCAGAGTCGTCTAGGGCTCAGGGCGGCGGCGGGAAGGGGGTATGCCCCCAACGCTACACAGCCCCAATTCCCAGCCAGACCTTAGTAACACCTTGGCCAGCCTGACACTGCAAGCAATTTCCTGGAGTCTCCGCCCAGGAACCCGGGCCACCGCACCTTGAAAGGGATAGCCAGAGCTTCCTCTTGAAGCTTGAAAGCCCGAGCTAATCAGTAACCCGTGAGACGGGGCCAAGACTCCAAGCTGAGGCGGAGGCGCGCACCGAGCCCTCACCACCCACTTCTGAGAAAGCCGTTCCGTTAACTGGGTGTGAGGGGTCCCACGGGAACGGAAATTACAGACGTTTTGGTTCTTTAATGGTTTCTCCTCACTCCCGATTTTCCGCCAAAACATTTTTTTTTTTTTTTTTTTTTTGCGTCGATTCGCTGGGAACGTTAGAGAATGGGGGAGGGGACCACACTCACTTGCAGACACCAACAGTTTCCAGAAAACTCATTTCAACTCCTTCAGCACAGACTCGCCAGCTTTGGAATTGGCAAAACCCACAAACCAACTGAAAAAGTACAGACTGGGTTTGTCCTTTAACAATCGAGTGGAACTTTCTGGTCGGCGCCTCCCTTGACCGGCCCCCCTCCTTTGACTGAGAAGAAAACCAAATAAACCTTGAAAAGATTTGGCCTCACACTTCTCCCCAGAGACCCAGTCATGTCTTGTGTCTTAGGTGGTGATGTGGGTCGTGGGTCTGAACCCTCAACCCTTTGGTTCAGTACCCCTGTCCGTGGGTTACAGTATTACTACTCCTCTTCCTCTGCCAGCCTCCAGGTTTGTGGCTGGGATTAGTGGAGGTCTGCAGGATGGAAGAAGGTTGAGGATAATGCGACAAGAGACTCATTCCGTTTTCTAATCTATACCCGGAGACTAAGACGCCGTAGAGAGCACCAGCATGGGCCAGAATCCCACCGCGCCAAGCAAACCCGCAGGGCTCGAGGAACGTCGAGAGGCTAGCTGTGCCGAAGACGCCTGTCCCCGAACGGACGGTAGATGGCAGCAAACTGCATAATTTGGGTCAGAGGAAATTGTCTAAGGGACGATTTATAATCCACCAAGACTAAGGGAGTGGGGGAAGACCTTTACCTTGAGTGGATTTGGGGGCATTTTCCCGTCGTGGATTGGGTCCGAGCGTCCTAGATGCTAGCGATTTAATTCCTCTTGCTAAGATGCCAATGTGTTTCAGTGTGCCCAGTACAGGCCTGTGTCTAGAGCTGTGTAGCTGCCCCCAGGGAGTCCCAGTGCAGTGCCACAAGTGGCTGAGTTTCCTTATCCTAATAGCTCAAGAGGCCAATGTAGCCACACACTTGCCCCGGACCCTAAAATCCTAGACAACCAGAAGCCCGAGCCTGATCGACCCGCATAGGCTTTTTAAAAAACAGAAAGGCAGTCAATCTCTGTTCATGCAAACCAAACTAAATCAAAATGCCTCCTGTCTGTGCCCAGAGTGACTTATCTCTCTGCATATAGCTTCCCTAGAGACCCTTCAACCCATTTCTTAGCCCTCACCATCGAGCCTGAACCCTATGAGAGCTTTTTAAAGAATCTGGCTCATATTCAGCAGATCCCCCCCCCCCACCTCCCTCCAGGAAGCTGGGAACCAAAATTGGGCGTGAGAGACAGGATTTAGCCCTGAACTCAGACTCCGGAGGCTTTTTCATCACATACCATAGGATTCTCTAGTTAGGTTTTCCTTTTCATTTTGTATTCTTCACCGCCCCCCCACACACACACCAAATTTATTTTTGTGTATAAGCCTAAACAGCATGCTAAAATCATTTCACAACCACCACATTTGAATCCAGGAAAGTTTGAAATGCTTCCATACCACATATGCAATTTTCTCCACCAAAATCCACACATCCTATATATCAATAAAACACAAGCAACAGAATCTATCGCGCACAGACCAACAGACTTTAACCTACCGGATTAAAACCACAAAACTCCCTGCAGATGAGGCTCCCTCGGGCGGCAGGGCTGGCAAGAGACCTGAGTAGTCTTCAGCTAGCTTCCTGGGGAGGAGTCTCCCTCGCTTTGGGTTCCTTCACCCACACCCCTTTAATTACAGAAATGTCTCCGAAGGAAGAGAGCGAACATTTCTCTGTGAATTGTTCTTTTTATGTCACTCTAGCCGTCTCCTTGCCCTCGGCTGGCCTTGGCGGAGATTCCAGGCCCTCCTGAGACCAACACGTCCCTCAGCGCCACCGCCCCTCGTGCCAATGCAGCCTGGAAATCGCCGTTTCCCACACTGGGCAAGAGAACCTCACGGGGGCAATCGGGGGAGGCCAGGAGCAGGGAGAGATGGAGGGAGGTGAGCACAAACCCACCAGGGCCAGAACGACTGGCCAGCTCGGCTGCAGCTCAGACACCCCACCCTCTCTTTCGCAGCCCCCTCGATGGAGCTCTCTCCCAGTTAAAAAGGCAACATAAAACTGGCCTCCGAGGCCCCTTTCCGTTTCTCCTCCCCCCATCTTCCCTGTAGCGGCTCCCCCTCCAGGAAGCAGCCACCCCTCTCTTTACCACAGAATTTCCTGGGAAGCTTCTCCCAGCAGCGCCCAGAGGTGGGGTTCAACCCGGTCTTGGGATGGGGGGAGGGGGAGAAAAACCTAAGCCCCACCCCCTGCAAAAAAAACGATGCAAAAGAATAAGAATTGTAGAATCTCCCTTACCTTTGCAGAACTTGGGTTTTGTTTTGTTTTTTCTTTCTCCGGATTCAAATGGGTGAGGAGGGAGGGAAAAAGGAGCGTTCGGTTTCTTCTTCAGCTTCCAGATAATATTGTCCCAACCTGAGAGCCGTCGTTTCCCCCTCTCAGACTTGAAAGGGAGGTTGTTTCGCTTTTTTGATATTTGCATAGAAAATGGAATAAGTTCTGGCTTTGAAAAATTGTATCAGGCTTCAGTCCCGGGCAGATTGTCCATTGACCCTTCATGATGACTAAAAATCCCAGATCAGCGAGCAAATTAACTTAGGAATCAAAATTATTTTTGGTTCTCTCTTTTGTGTAATTCCCACCCCTCCTTCCCTCTCTCACTCACTCTTCTCTCCTCCCCCTCTCTTCCTCTCTCTCTTTTGCTCTATCGAACTGATATTGAGGTATAAAAATATCAAGAGTCTGGAGCCCTGAAGGACGGCAGTGCTCCGACCTAGGTGTGGTGTCCAAAAGAATGCTGCATTATAACCACCAGGGAAATGATAAAAAGTTCATGTTCACGATCGCCCGGCCACATGACCGGCGCCGGCCAATCGCTGGATTCAACCACTCATAAACTTCTATCACAAAGTTGTAAATTTTCATAAAACAACAAGGAATTTATTGCATTTCTTCATGGCTGCTCCACCAGCAACCCTTTTCTCGGTCGCCATCTTCTTTTCTTCCCCTTCTCTTTCTAGGGAAACCCCAATCTGAGACGGGGTGAGATTTTGGGTGCAATAATTCAGGGTGGAGAAACTATAGAGGTCCAGCTAGAACCGGGGTTTTCTCTGGAACCTCCACATTTTCCTCAAGAGATCTGCCTGTCTTTTATAGTTAAAAAAAAAAAAAAATACCCCCCAAAGCTTTCACATGGGTCTGTGCTGAGGCAATAGGAAGGTGAGGCAAAAGCAGCAGCGGGTGTTGGATGCGGCTATGTGCATCGTGGCAAAAGGAAAGCTCCTATACCCCCTCTCCTGCTCTGAGCACCCGCCCCCATTCCTACCCTTCCAGACTGTGGGATTCCCCCACCCACCTGTGAAGCTTGCAGCATTGCAGGTGTGGGGGGGGCAGGGAGGCGGCCCTCGGGGTCTAGTTTTTGCCTCTGGAGAGAAGGTGTCCTGGATGGGGGCCAAACCAGATTAGTCTAACAAGTAGATTCTCCACCTCAGCACCCCAGAAACTGGGGGAGGAAGAAGCCGGGTCGCGGCCTCTCCCGCCTAAACGCCTGCCCCCATCACCTTCACTAGAAGAAACCCCTGCTCTCTCCAGGGGATGCTGCGGTCGGTACCGGGGAAGCCGCAGGTTTTTAAGGCTTTTTTTTTTTTTCTTACAAATTGAAGCCGCGGGGTTTTAAGGGCCTCTTTCACAAATTTAAATTAAGCATACCTTTCTAGAAACCAATCACCTTTCTCAAAACCTTTCGGTTTAAGATGGTGTTCTTTGAACAATCGAGGGTTTGTAAACGAATAAATATTAAAAGTCAACACCGCAGGTCTAGGTATAAAGACACTGTCCTTTAGGGTTTTGTCCAGCAATCAGGGGTTTGCAAAAATGAATAACTCACTCTACTTTTCCAGGTTTCCAAAAAACAAAAACAAAACCCCTACATTTTAGGTTGGGCTTCTGGTGACTTAATGAAGAAAGTGAAATAATCTTCTTTTTAAATTTTATCTTTTCTTCTCCCTCCCCTCCCCCTGCGTGTGCCCCTCAGAAGGTTCCAGGTTGTTGGCACTCAAGAGCAGGCTGAAAGTCACAGAGGAAGCCCTGACGCTCTGCGGCCTCCCAGCTCGCTACGGTCACCTTCACCTCGGCCACCCCAGCCTGGTAAACTCGCTCGGTTCTCGCTCATGGGACTGGTTTTTTTTTTTTAATATATGTATATATAGTTTTAAAGTTTCATATGGATCGCCCTTGTCAATTCAAAATGAAATAGATTTTAGTACAAAAACTAAAAATAAATTCTAATAAATTAAAAAAGATCACGCTGACAGAAAATGTTTGCCGACTGAGCAGAAAGCTGTAAGCACCCTGGCAAGAAGGTTGCACTGGGCAGGCCAGGAGACCTCTACTCGATGTCCTGGCCTCTGCCCAAACCGCTCCAGGGATGGGATGGATCGGGGTGTTCACCCTTCACATTTCTTCCATTTGTCTTCTTCGAGGCCTACCATTTTGTATCTCATCACAATATTTGTGGCTGCACACCAGGCTCAGATTTCATAGTCTCTTTTAAAGGCCTGAACAAGAAAAAATTCGAGGCTGGAATCTTTTAAGGGGTGGGGTTTACATTTTGGGAGTGTGTAGCTGAGCATTATGGTCTCATGGATGGATTTCCTGGGGGGCAAATGTGAGTCTCTGTTTAGAATCCAATGTGCTAATGTACATTGGTGTGTATCAAAGTGTCTGTGAGTGACTGTGAATGCATGTTTACTCGTGAGTGTGTGTGAATGTGAATGCATGGGTTCTGGGCATGGAGCCGGGATGGTGTGAAAGCCTGTATGTGTATTTGTGAATATATGGATGTCTATGTTTATTTGTGACTGGAATAGTGTATACATTTGTGTACTGTCAGCTTGTAAATATGGGAATCGTGTGCTTTGGTTAACATATAAAGGGAGGGAGACAGAGGTTGGGGTTCATTAGCTGGCCGTGGGACATCTGGAAAATAAAAGCAAATCTAACATAGAAAGAAAAGACCAGTAGAGGGGCTCTGAGACACCCACCCACTACCAATCCTCACTCCCTCGCAGCCATAGGGAGACAGAAAGTACAGAATCTGTTGATTTTTAATCCTATTTTATTCTCCATCCTTCAGATATACAGAAAGAGGCTCACAGGAAAGGGTAGGAGCCAGGATCAGCGGCCAAGTGCACCAGATGCAGGAGCTAGTGGTCCTCGAGGCTCCCTAAGGCCTTTGTAGTGCTGCTACTGGGAAGTATGGGGTAGACAAGGAACCACAGTCCACAAAGACAGCGCCAAAGAGGGTGTACAAAACAGCAAGATTTTACAAAGACCTTACTAGCAACATAGAAAAGGGGAGGCACATTCCAGAAAGCCATGGAGCAGGCCCATAATATCCTTTCCATACTGTACAAAAACAGACAACACACTTTCCCATAGGTAGTATTTTTTTACAGTGTTAAGAAGCCCAAATTTTTCACCCTTCTCTCTCTCTCTCTCTCTCTCTCTCTCTCTCTCTCTCTCTCTCTCTCTTGTAATTGCTTTATTTAAATAGTTTTCCCCCTTATTTGAGTTTCATGCTTCAGTTCTCAGAATTGGTTTCTCCTTCTATTCTCTCTCCTCCTCTTCTGCTTTCTCTGTCCCTCACTCTTCCTCCTCCTCCTCAGCTTCAGCCTTGTCCTGGCCAGTGACCCCTGGGCATGACGTTTTGTTCTCCTTTTTCCACTTCATGCGCCGGTTCTGAAACCAGATCTTGATCTGCCTTTCAGTGAGACAGAGCGCGTGCGCGATCTCTATGCGTCGCCGCCGAGTCAGGTAGCGGTTGTAGTGAAACTCCTTCTCCAGCTCCAGGGTCTGGTAGCGCGTATAGGTCTGGCGGCCCCGCTTTCGGTCAGTACCTACTCCAGTATTTAGGAGAAAGAGAAATATCAATATCAACAACAACAATAACAATAACAATAATAATAATAATAATAAATCAGTGTGTGAAAAACACCAAGAAAATTTCCACCTCCTACCACAGGGCAGAAAAAGACTACATTGCTGGAAACACATTAACATTTTTCATAGTCTATCCTACACTTCATGGTACCCCCTTTCTCTGCCATCTGCAGAAAAATTTCCAAGCTTCTTAGGGCAAGCATTGTTTTCTTTCTTTTCGTGTGTGTGTGTGTGTGTGTGTGTCCACAAGAGTTGCTATGCTTTTCAAGTGGGGGGGGGCTTATTATGTAGCCACTGGGTGGTTTCAATCTGGTAGCAATCCTTCCTATTCACTCTTCCAAGTGCCAAGTGCTGGGCTTACAGGTCAGCCCCACCATACCAGATAGATAGTCCTATGACCCATGAAAGGTGGTTTTCTCAGCCTGGAGCGTCTGAAAGCCAGGTAGATCTCAACTGCTGGCTCCCAAAGGTTCTGTTCCTTAAGGAGCTAGCATAGAGTGGAGGCAAAATTAATCCTCACTCACTTTCTGGGGCCAGAGGCTCCAATTTTACCCTTTTCCTTTCAGATAGCCTTTGAGGTAAGGACACCATATTAATGTCCCAGAGTGGGTTCTCCTGGCCTGATCTGAGAAGAGAAGAAAAGAAACAAAAGGACGTCTAAGGGCCAGTCCCCACCCAGTCACATCATAGAATAGGGAAGAGGCAAGAATTTACCTCCCTGGAAGTTGAAAGTATTAGCCTAATGGCAGTTACATTCCAATGCTGTTTCCCAGTAAGGGTCAAGCAAGACCTGGCTACCTGCCTGCCTGCCTGCTCAGATAACCTAATTGTCTGAAGCAATCTTTGGACCTCAGGGACTGCAAGGGAGAAAGGAAACTCCATGGCCTAGACCAGAGTTAGGTGAGGGTCCTTGCTCATGTGTTGAGGCTGAAAGGGTACCTAACAGCTTTCCACTTAGGCCCAGAACCTAGGAGATTGTGGGGAGCTATTGGTGTCAGCCCTCCTGGAAAGGCCACTGGAGAGAAAAAGGGCTAGGGTCCTTAATTTCAAGTCAGATATAAGCCAAGCTAAAATGTTGTGTGTGGGGGGGGTCACTTTGATAAACCAACTGGAAAGTCAATTCAAATACAGAATAGGTGATAGAAACCCTGATCAGCAATACTCATGGTGTGAGAACTGGGTTGCTCCTGGCTCCCAACCCTGATCAATCTGAGGGTTTCTGACCACGGTCTTGGATGTTCTGAGCCTTGGAGTTGGCTCCCAAGCCCATGTGCCTTGAGGAAATGTAAAAAAGGATGTATGAGGGGCCTTTGGAGGAGACCTGGTAGAAACCTTGATGTCCTATGTTTTCTAAAGCAGCTGCTGAGTAGCTTGCACTCCCTAGTCTTGGTTTGGGTCCATTGAGTCCTAGCATCCCCCAAAAGGAAAGTCATACTTCCAGAGTGACACCTTCATACTTGACTGTTCCCCAGGAGTCCACAGAGTCCTAGGAAAAACACCTAAAAAAAGCTATGCTGTCATGAGGCCTATGCCTCTTTTTCAGCCCACCCTCCTCAGTCCACCAGGGGCAGAAGGAGTCAATAGACCCATCGCTCTGGGCCTCAGATGAACTCCCTTCGCCTCTCTCTGGCTCTACGTCTCCGGCTGGGTCTTCAGCTCTTCTGTACCCGCTCCTCCCGCTAGGCCTCTAGAGCCCACCTCTAATTGTCCTGATGGGAATAATGGGGGAGCGGGGTTGGCTGGAAAGGAAGGGGGAGGGGAGAACGGCTTAGCGCTATGACCCCCTCCTCCATATCTTAACCGAGCTAGGGCTAGGGGGACACACCCAGAACTGAGCTCTCAGGCAGGGAACGGGGGGGGGCGTGGGGGGGGAGAGGAGAGAGACCCTAATGGCTATTCTCTGCAAACCCCAGCCTTCCTAGGCAAGACAAACGGCCTCATCTCCAGTCCGTGCCGGCGCTGCTGATAAATATTTAAAGCTAAAAGGCCCGGAGGAAGGGTTGGGGGCGGGCTGGGGGCTTTGAGCACTGTGGCGTCGGCAAAAAGAGATCCGCCAGGACCTGAGAGCACCGAGCAAAACTGGGGGAGGGGGCGGCGTGCGGGGTCCCAGGTTAGACTTAAACAGCACCGCAATGGCCGATCTGCAGCCGGGAGTATTCTGGACGCGGAGAGGGGTACCCTGAGGGGAAGGGGAACCTTCCGGGGACTGTGGCCCGGACGTTGCGGCTCGGAACCGCTGGGTGCGCGGCGTTACCTGAGCTTCGCATCCAGGGGTAGATCCGGAAGTTACTCTCGGCCGCCAAGTCCGAGTCCCTCTGCTCCTTGGCGCCAGCCGCCTTGGCGGGGTCGCCCGGACACACCCCGGAGAGGTTCTGCTCAAAGGGCGCGCAGTGCATGTTGAAGGAACTCGGTTCGAGCCCGTAGCCGGCCGCGTAGACGCCGGCCGCGCTCTGGCCCGCCATGCCCCCCGCGCCTGGGTACAGTGTTTGTACCGAGGCGGAGAACGGGGCGCCCGGACCTGTTCCATAGCCCGGACGCTGGGGGTTGGAAGCAAAGGCGCAAGAAGTTTGTTCGGGAAAGGCTCCTGGAGCGAAAACCGAACTTGCGGCTGGATATTTAGAAAATAAAGCATTCGCATAATACAATGAACTCATAATTTGGCCGGATGATTTGTAGTCAGGGACGTTTTAGTGTCGGTTTTACGAGATTCCTTGATATATTACAGAATTAGAGTCCAGATTTACACCAAAAAGGACCCCCTTTTTCCTCTCCGGACCACGTGACCTTGGCCCACGTGATATTCCCTCGGCCAATGATCTGACGGCCTCCTGGCTGCTCTCAGTAATGTGGAAAAAATTGTGTGGCGTTGGATTTATAAAATATGATCAATAATGAATGGGAAGGCCGAGCTCTGCGGATTGGGGCTGGGGGGCTCAAGGGTCGCTGTCGACCCCCGCGGGTTGGAGGCAGCTTGCAGGCGTGATTTTGGGAGGAAGGAATTGAGTGGAAGGGAAAATAAATAACCTCTGAGTGATCCGTGTTGTCACCCCCCCACCCATTTCCCCCAGCCTGTACAGATCGAGAGACAGACGCAAGGATTGAATGGTCTCAACTTGGTGGGTGGGTGCAGGCCGAGTATTTATTAATCCAGGCTAATTCTCATCCGGGCTGCTGCTGGTCTCCTAAAACGAGGTGAGCCTGGCCTCCCGGTTGTCTTTTAGTGACTGGATGTGGAACAAGGCTTTCCTAAGGCAGGAATCCAACCCAGCAGGCATTGGACTCTGAGATTTCTGGTGGCTAAAGAAAAAAAAAGCGTTGCCAATAAAAAGATATACATAAACTATTTTAAAAAAGGAAGAAAGAAAGAACAGAATGGGGGTGGGGAGAAAAAGGAAGGGAGGAGGGCAGTTTGGGTCCGGCTCGCTGCTTTCCCGGTTCCGGAAGGCGGATGCCTCACTCAGTGGAGCGTGGCTGCCAGCGAGGCAGAGGCAACGAAGGAAGGAAGGCTGCGGCAAGCCGCGGCCTAGAAACTGGGAGAAAGCGGAGACGTCCCAGAGAGGGGAGGTAGGGAGGAACCTCTTCCCTCTGCTCCTGCTTCCCCAACCTGAGTCCGAGAAAAATGGAAATGTAAACTCAGCAGCCTACTCCATCTCCCCCGATACCCCCACCTCCCAGGACACACACAGAAACAAAGAGAGAAGTGACAGGGGACACTAGTCACCAGCTTGGGCACATCTCTCCTCCAGAGAGGCCTGGGCGCTGGAGTCTCCGGGGCCCAGCAACCACGGGACACAAGGGGAGGGGGTTTCTCTTGGCTCCCCTCCCTCGATCCTCTCTCCTCCAATCATATGCAGCCGCCTCCCTCACCCCCTGCGCCTCTGGGCCGGGGGACTCGTACCACCTGCTTCCAGCCCCCGCCCCCTCCTCTCTGCGACCTAGCCTAGGCCAGCCCTACAGCCTGCTGACCGGCTCCCCCCAGTCCTGCAGGGCGCCTGGGAGCGAATGAGGAGCGCCAGCCCCGGGCCAGTCTCGGGTTCTCGCTTGTAAACTTTATTGTAACTCTTCCGCCCTTTTCAGGCTCAGACAACAGAACAAAGTATAGAGGAACAACAAAATATATAATTAGCCCTCCCTCCCCCCAATAAAGCAATTCACGGATACAGGATACATTCTCTTCACAGCAAACCTAAGAACACTTTTAACAATTGCTCACAGCGCGCATGCTAACTAAAGTAATCTCTTTTGAGAAACACTTAAGACAAAATTGTCAAACCAAAGGGGGTGGGGGGGGGGGACAGGAAGAAAAGCGAGAAGCAAGAGAGAAAGCCAGCGAGCTAGGGAGGGCAGCGGGGAGCGGGGAAAGATGAGGACGCGGTGAAAGAGAGAGAGAAAGAGAGAGAGAGAAAGTGAGAGGGAGACAGAAAGAATTACGGCGTGAATAGGCAGTTTCATGTTGTTGGGAGAACTTAGCAGAAATCGGTACCTTGGTCATTACAAAGAAGCACGTTCAAAGGAAAAAGACCATTGCACAAGGAGGCATTTTTACATGGGGCGGGGGGCGAGGGGGCTCTGGCAGGCAGCAGTCGCTCACCCTCGCAGGGCGAGGGAGTCCTTGTTTAAAATCCTTTTCTTTTTTTCCCCCTGGCCCCCAAGAGAAGGGAAGGAGATCCACGGTAGCTCACACACAGAAGCTATTACGAGATACTACCACTAGCGGGGACTGGCGCGGCGGGGGACGCTGCGGTGGGAGGCCCAGCTCCTGGCTCCGCTCGCGGGGCCGGAGCTCTCGGAGGCGGGGGAGCGGGCGGCAGCGGCGTGGTCGCGGGAGGGACCGGCGGACGTGCGGGCAAGCCCCGGCCCAAGCAGTCCCAGCTGGAGCCTACTTCTTGTCACCCTTCTGCGCATCGCCCTGCTCGGCGGTCTCTGGCGCCCGCTCCAGCTTCTCTTTCTCCAGCTCCTCCTGCTCGCATTTACTGCTGGGGAACTTGTCTTTGTTGTTCTCCTTTTTCCACTTCATTCTCCGGTTCTGGAACCAGATTTTGACCTGTCTCTCTGTCAGTCCCAGCGCGTGCGATACCTCGATCCTCCGCTTGCGAGTCAGATAGGGATTAAATAGGAACTCCTTCTCCAGCTCCAGGGTCTGGTAGCGGCTGTAGGTCTGGCGGCCTCGCCTGCGTCCGGCGGCTGCTGGGAATGGGGGAAAGGGCGAGACAGAGGGGAGGGTGGGGGAGGGGGCAGAGACAGAGAAGGTTGGAAGATTCGTGAACCAGCCTAGGAGACCAGGATAATGAGGGCAGGGGGACCCTTAAGCGGGGGTGGGAGGGAGCGCGCAGAGGCCGCGGTCAGCAGGGAGGGGGGGCTGAGGGGGGACTAGACAGCACTGAATCCGCGGGGGCCAAAAAGGGGGAGCCCCTTCCCCTGGTAACCACAACCAGAATGGGGGGTTCAAATATATTAAAAGTGCCATAAAGTTTAGGAGGAAGGATGTCGAGAGCGGAGTAAGAATAAAAAGCCAGAGTGGGGACCCACGAACCCACCTTGAAAAGCCCCCAGAGCCTCTGCCCCAGAAGAAAAGTTTCTTCAGGGTAATTAAACTATAAAGCAATTGAGAAGTGCGAACGTTGAGCGCCCCCACTCTCCACAGCCCCCATAAAACAGTAAAAGGGGGAGAGGGGGGAGAAGAAGAAGAAAAGTAAAGGAGGGTGAGGGGTTTATGGATTCAGGAAATTCGCGTAGCGACCCCCCCTTCAAAGGAAGCAAAATGAAAAGGGGAAAAAGAAAAGAAAGTGGGGAGGAAGGGAGAAGAGGTAGGTGATTGGAAAGGAGCCTACTTGTCCTCTAGGAGCAGAAGATGCTCCGGGCCTGCTCACCCCCTCCCCCCGCGCCGGCCTGGGGCCCTCCCGGCCCCTTCCCACCCCGGCAGGCCCGACGGGAGCTCACCTTGAGGGCGCATCCAGGGAAAGAGCTGTGTGGGCGACGGGCTCTGCTCAGACCCCTCGGCCTCCTCGCCCAGGCCGCTGGCGGCCGCGAGCTTGCAGTCTGCGTACTGCACCAGGTCTGGATCCTGCGCACCGAACAGGCTCTGGCGCTGCAGCGGGTCGTAGCCGTAGAAGTTGCCGGGGTCCCCGTGGCACGCCACGGCACACGGGTTCTGCTGGTAGGGAGCCGTGGACAGCGACGATGGCCCGTGGTAGAACTCCTGGATTTGCGACGGGTGCTGGAAGCTGCCGCCGCTGCTGGGACCGTACACCACGGTGGGTCGGCCGCCCAGGTCCTGGGCGAAGCCGCAGTCATAATAATTGGGGCGCAGGGACTCCCCAGTTTTGTATTTGGAGAACAGTGAGTTGACGAAATAAGAGCTCATTTTATTGAATTTTGAGGCGGCGGCGGCGGCGCAGGCTGTAGTTGGGGGCTGTTGGGGAGGGGGTGGGGAGGGGGAAAGGGAGGGAGAGAGAGAGAGAGAGAGAAAAAAAAAAACGCGGATTCGCTGGCTCCTAGTTACCCTCGCCAGGAGAGGAGAGGAAAAGGGAGGAGGAGGGGAAAAAAGAAAGAAGGAAGGAAGGAAAAGAAAGAAAAGGCGAAGAAGATCTCGAAGCCGCCACACTTTTTGTGATTTCCAGGAATAGAAGAGCGAAGCCTGCAAAAGTCTAAGCCTGCATGGCAGCCGCGGCTCGCTCGCCCTCCCCCCACCCCCCACCCCCAAACAAAAATATACCGCCACTTAAAGAGGTCCTCGCTTTACATTTCGAAGAAGGGATGCCAGTTCATAAACAGTTTTCGGTGATTTACTTCCCTCCAAATGAGTTGTTTCATATTTTGCCCCGTCTTTTCACCATCATTTGCATCCATTAGAGACCCCGCATCCTATTGGCTTCTGGGTACTCCTCCCGGACAGAACGCAGAGCGAGGGTGAGAGCAAGAGAGAGCGAGCGCGAGAGAGAGCTAGAGCGAGAGAGCGCCAGGGAGTGAGGAGAGGGCAGGAAAAAAAGGAGGGGAAGGGGGAAAAACACCCAGAGAGAGAGAGGGGGAGAGGGGGGAGAGGGAGGGGGAACGGGAGAACGAATACGGATTAAATCTGTTTAACTACCTACATTAATGAGATATCTCTTGCCTCACAACAAATCAAATACCTTCGCAGACCACCCCCAAAGACTGATGTGGGGAGAGTCACGGAAAAACACCATGCGCACACACATCCACAACGCTGCGCCTGGCGTAGGCACGCTGTTAATTTCGCGATTTTAACGAGGCAATTGGAGTCTTTCTAAATGTCAGGGTCGCTTCGGAAAAATGTAAAAGAACACGGTTTAATTGCGCCGAGTTTTAAAAGGTCCTATAAATGTAATTGGTATTTTAATACAAGTTATCAAATCATACAGCTTCCTCTCCTAAACATATTTTCAAACAAACGAGGTAGTCATATTTAAAGCTTTAATGATCAATTTCCTTATTATTGATAAAGGTTTAACTATCGTGTGGAGGGAATTGGCTGGGTAACCAGCCCCCAAAAAAACGGCTGTAAACTCTTTAACAAACTATAAAACGCAATAAAGCCAGAGTCTGTTGTTGTTTATGCCGCAGCGCATAAAAGCTGTTAGCATTTTACGAGTTCTTTCCTCTACAGCTATAAAACTGCAGCTTCGATCGCCCCCGCCGCCCAACTGAAGCACGGTGGGGGTGACTAAGCTGAAATGAGAGCGATTATGGGTTGCTGTTGATTTTTTTTTTCCTTTTCGGCGCAAACGGTGAGTTTCCCTAGATTTTTGCCTACTTAGGCCTTGCACACACACCTGTCCCCACGCCTTCTTTGGAGACCCCAAGATCTGTCGCCGCCCAAGTCACACACATAACTTTCCCTCATTAAGCAAACACACAGGATTGTCCGTGGAAAGAGGGTCTGAGTGGGTCTGGGAGAGGAAGAGGAAACTTTCTGGTTAATGGATAAATACTAAAGCCAAGCAAAGTTCTGCGGAGGCTGCCAATTCTGCATTTCCACATGCTTTTACCTGCTGTTGGTTGGAAGGGGTGTGCAAGGGAAAGACAGAGGGGTTTTTGAAGGCGCTTTGGCCTACTCAGAACTTTAGAGGGAAGACTGGGGGAAAGAAAGGGGTCTGATGTCATCAAAAGGATGATGATCCTTGTGACTGTTCCGCACCTGTGCACACATCTTGGGGCCCAGAGCTGGGGCCAAACCCTATGCCTCCCACACAGGCCTTCCAAGTATAGACACAGACGATTGCATGAACACACCAAAGGAGGTGAAAGTAATGGAGGCTGTGACTGGGCACCAAGGCCTTGGTCACTGGCTGTCTTATGCTCTCCAGTGCCCTAGGCAGAGGCTGTAAGGTGTGTGTTACTGCTGGGTGTCCTCATAGCCATTTGACCACCTGCACTGACCTTGGCAGAAAGGGCTTCAGATAAAGCAAGGCCATGAAATCTCCCTTTTCCTTTTACTTGGGGTTCCTTTAGTTAAACCCTGAGCATCTGAAGATAAGAGATCTCAAAAGCTAACCCCACTCCAGGCACAGAGGCTTCATCTGGGTACCCTGGCGTAAGGCTGGGGGCAGTCAGCCCATGGGAGGCCCAGTGAGAGCTTCAGAACCAATGGCCTTCTGAGGCAGCGAGTGTGCAAAAGGAAGGCCTGAAAGGCAGAGAAGGAAAATCTCTAGAACAAAGGCAGAATCGATTTTCACAAATAAACTCAATCTATTGCTGATTCTCTGGGAGGATTCTTTTGGGGATCCCATGAGCCCCAACCTTTGTAAACAATGCAGCCACATGTTTCCAAGGGGGCAGAACTGCCAGTTTTACTCAACCTTCTAAAGTGAGTCCAGAGGAGGAAAGTGGAAAAGAAGGAAAGGGAACCAGGCTCCTCCGGGGTCTTGTAGCACAAGCCTGAGGGGGCGGTGGAGCAACCTCAAGCAGAGTCAAGTTGTTTCGGAAGCGAACATTTTTATCAAGTGCGGGGGATTTTATGGTCATGATTTGAGGAGTCACTGGTGAGGTAGAAATTCAATGGCTTGTTCTAAATCATCCCTTCACCGTACCAGAATTTTCTGATGGAAGGAAAATGTTTCCGTTATAAGGAAAAAAAAAAAAAAAAAAAAAAAAAAAAACAAGAAGAGCGGGGAGATAATTTATAAACACCCAGCGGAGCGCAGATTTATTGGAGAAACTCAAGTTGAGGAGACACTCCGCGGGCCTCCTTGCACCTGGACCTGTGGGAAAAGAATAGGCTCTGGCTGGGGTCATTTTGGGGGGTGGCTTGCCATTCCCCCCTCCCCAGATCAAGTTGGAGGCAGGTTCGGGCTGGGCCGAGAGGAAACTGAAGATTGGGAATCTTCAGCCGAAGGGGTTGTGGTCAGTCAGAGCGACAGCCTCAGAAAGGAAAGTCCAGTCGTCAGGCTGCGGTGTCGCAGAAGGACCGACTTCCCCCGCCGATTGCAGCCGGGCCCGGGCCCGGGCACAGCGGGAGCACACAGGAAGGAGCCCCGGCTCTCACCTGGAAGCCCCGCAGCGCGGGAAACTCTCAGGCGGCGCTCCCATAGCCAAGCCTGCCCCGGCTCCTATCCAGAAAATGCACAGGCTTTTGGTGGAGACTCCCAAGGGACGACGGGGCAGCTTTCTCTCACCCTGCCTCCCTGGGTGGTGGTGGGGGGGACCCTGCCCGAGCCTGGGTGGCCAGGCACTCGCTCAGCCCAAACCTGGATACCTACAACGGCTCTGGAGTCAGAGCCCAGGTGCAGCGAGCCCTCTGGCTTGGGACACCACGGAATCTTCATCAGAGCCAGGTCCCCATTCCTCACAAATTTGGGGGATCTCCGGGATAGCACGTCGGATTTGTTCTCCAGCAGGTGTGCGCAGCCCTCCTCAGATAGCTCGCTTGCTCTTCAAGGGACCTGCGGGGGCAGCTGGCTCACCCCTTTCACCTGACCCGCTGGCCTGCACTTTGTTCCTCTCACCTCTGCAGGGAAATTTCATTTTCTCAAACCAGTTCGCCTCCTTGATTTGGACCCACTATTTCAATATTTCTATTATTAATATTATCATGCCCGTTCTCCATGCATTTCTCGCCCCACCAAACGCAGCAAATGGGAAACAGCCTTCTTAGCATGAGAAATTCAGAAAATGAACCACTTGAGGAGAGAAACGCCACTATAATTGAAATACATACAATAGGGGAAAGGGCCATAACAAACCCTATATTTTTATTATGTGCAAATTATCCATGACTTTCGGTAGCTCTCAGTTCCTACACACTGGGCCTAACAAGGTGCGGTGAGGAGCCGCAGGAGCCTTCAGCCACAGCACTGGAAAATTTCACATGGAGCAAGAGTGCCATCTAGCGGCCACTCTGCAAAAAGATATCCTCCATCTGCTCAGTCAGGCTCTCTGAGGAACCAGGGACAAACGATTAAACTTTCATTATCACTAGAAATAGGAGAGAGAAACGAAAGCAGATAAGAGAAAAAGCTTCAGAATCAGGAAACTGTTCAAGAAACAGTTCAGATAAGTTTAAAGGAAAAGAAGCTATAAATCCACTCAGTCCCTAATTTCTGTTGGAGTCGATAGCAGTCACTGCTTATGGTCAGTAAGAGAAAGAACACTTTTTAAGCCCTACACGATTGTTTCACATGCTGAGGGGTAACAATTGGGCTTTTTGTGAAGGATGTGAAGGTCTGAGGTGATGGAATGGAATCAGAGAAGGATCAAGAGGCTACTCTCCTCCAGACGCCTGGCCCAGCTGGATGGTGTGTGTGTGTGTGTGTGTGTGTGTGTGTGTGTGTGTGTGTGTGTGTATCCACATATGCAAGGGTTTCTTGTTTATTCCTGGCTCTTCTAGAGGGGTTGTAAAGAACAAAGACAGCTATTTCAATGGCTGAAGCTTTGAGTACAGCAAAGTGCTCTTCCTCCCAGCCGCTAGTTTCTTCACTTTTTACCCTCCAGGAACCACACACACACACAGACACACACAGCCCTGATTCCCAAGTTCCAGACCCCCAAGCTCCAGACCTGAGCACAAGGGGGTGAGGGTGGGTGCTTCGTAATAAGGCCCACCCATTCTCCCATCAGGTCTGGAGCCCAGCTCATCCTCGGCTCATCTCCGGAGTTTCTCCCCTCACTGTTTGCTTTGCTGCTGTTTAGTTTCTTAACCTTCAGAAATTTATACCCTATAAACTTTTATAGCGGTCATATTATTTTATTGCTGCTCACACAGCATTGAATTCCTCTCCCGGCTTTCTCTCTCTCTCTCTCTCTCTCTCTCTCTCTCTCTCTCTCTCTCTCCCTCTCTCTCTGCATCTTTTATGACAACTGATTTCCCCATCTCTGGCTTCTGAACCTCTGCACCTTCGCCTTTGTTCATCTTGAAAGAAGCCATCCGGGGCTGGGGACTCAGACGCCTCTGCCTCAGGCCACTCCAGACATCCTAGCCTCCTACCCTACCGCGACCCAGTCTCCAGCCTCGCTTTTTGTGTTTCCTTTAGGCAGAAACTGGTTTTCTTGGCTCACTCTCTGCAGCTGGCAGAGTCTGGAGGATCAAGAATGGAGAAACAGCCTAGTCCACACCAGCTGTAAAGCCAGATTAATTTTCCTTTTTTTTTTTTTTTTTTTTTTTTTTTTAAACATAATCCTCCTGGCAGGCCGCCTGTCCCAGCTGCAGCACAGAGCTTCCCTGTCTCCCGCCTCTGATTTCTCGGTCCCCTTGCCCTTTCGTTAGAGAGGGGTAGAGCCGGCCTTGGCAGGTTTCTTTCACTCGGGCCAGCCTTTGTCGCTACCTCCACTCGGAGCCGCAGTGTCTCAGCTGAAGTGTGGCGTGTGCAGCGAGCGAGAAGCTCGCGTGAGGCTGGCGACAGAGCTGCAGGTCGGCTGCAGCTGGATTCTCACAACTGAATGAGAAAAGCAAGGCTTCCAGAACAGCGGCAGCAACGGACTTCTTCACGACAGACTGTTGCGGGGATACCGCAGTGTGAGAGGGACAGGAGGCCGCCTCTTGAAGCCAATTGTAATTCGGGGGCTCCTTTTGGAAATGAATTACCCCCTCCCCTCCCGAAACAGTTGTGTCCACTTTTGGTGGCTTTCTTTTGAGAACTGTCACACACACACACACACACACACACACACACACACACACACACACACCCTGGCCTCAACCATCCAGACTCAGCAAGCCCCAGACCAAGGCTGCTGTCCTAAGAGCCCGACTCCAGGTTGGGGATGGGGGAGAATCTACAAGAAATCCTGGGCTTCAACCATTTGATTCATCCAAGCTTTCTGCCGCCTCTGGATCTCCACCTACATGCAACCACCATCCTCTGGGCAACAGCATAGGAAGACTCCTAACTCCATCCCTGAAGGGTGTTTGGAAGTGGTTACCTGGGAAGGGCTGCATCTGCTGCAGCAGCTACAAGCCAGACACTCTCCTTCCCCGAGTGCATGGGGGGGGTCTCTAGAGCATATTTGTCTGGGTGAAGACCCTTGCTCTGGGGAGAACCGTGCCCTCTCCCAATCGTGGGAATTCACTTTCCACCTTCCCAACTCTCCCGGTTCCACTGAAAGGGCCTTGCTCCGTTTAAGCAGTGGTCTTGGGACTTAGGTACCCACCAGGTGTCAGGACCACCAGAGCAGGTAGATGCCTCTGGAAGGTCTAAGGAGAAAGCCTGTGGCTGTGGACACTCACTTGTCTTTGTTTGAAGCCATTGCTTTCAGCAACTGGACTCTTTTTGCTTAATGACCAGAAGAGAAGCAACACAGGAAGAAAAAAAAAAAAAAAAAAAAAAAAAAAGCACAGGAGAGGGTTGTTTTCTAGAGTGATATATATTTTTTTGTTCTTTTTCTTTTTCTTCCAAAACAAACAATTAGAGCTCTAGGCCCCTTGCCCTCCCCATTCCCACCCTCAGCCCTCCCTTATGAGCAACAACTGAAAATCATAGCCAAAGAAATCACATAACACAAGCACAATAATTTCACCACAGCCACTGACAAAGCGAAAAATAAAATAAAACTCAAAGTCCTACTGGGATGACCTCTTCGCAGGGTCAGGAGAAGCAGGAGAAAGAGTCCAGGGTTGGGGGGGGCACTGAGAAGCAAGGGAGGACAGAAGCAAGGGTGAGCCTCTGCCCCGTGGGGAGGCGTGATTTTGCTTCTTTCCTTTGCACACGGGACTGTTTGCAGGAAGCGTGTGTGGGCGCGCATGCATCAGCTGGGTGGATACAGCAGCATATTCTGCAGGAGGTGAAACCCCCATTCAGAGCTTTGGGGGGGATCTTCCTTTGGCCCTCTGGCTGGGTGCCAAGGGGCTCTCTTCTTCGTGGGCGACATAGGGAGAGACCCACTAACCCTGGTTGCAGAGGCCATTGCTCTCTTGTCCTGCTCTGGAAGGGAGCTGGGGAATTGATTCACATTAAATTCTCAATCAGACTCTCCTGACCCGGCCTTCTCTAAGGTGGGGATGACCTAGCAGGGGGTAAAGGGGTTTTATTTCTACGTGGGGAGACTTGACTCACTGATGCAAGATGGATTTAGCCAAAAGGAGAGTTGATTTTAGAGCTGGAAGGAACAAGATCAGCCAGAAAAGCTACAGTCTGTCAAGGGGGACCTATGAATGGGGGAAAGGCATTGTCAAGGCTCTACGACCCACAATTTGACCTCCTTTAGCTGGAAGGAGAGGAAAACATGCAGAATTAAACACTTCCTGCAAAGAAAATATATGAGGGGCCCCACTAAAGGTACCTTCATAAAACCACTCCCTGCTTTTTCTTGCCCTTTCTAGCTCACAACAGTTTGGGGCCTGGACTGGCCCCATCTGCCCACAGGCCCTGAGACCTAGGGTATAGACGGCAGCTCCACAGGGTGAAGTACTCACTGGGATGTTGAGACTTTGGACCACTCAGGACTCCCCTGAGTCAGAAGCTCGCCTGAGATGTTCAGCCTGTGTGTGTTTGGATCAGGGGTTTGAGTCTGACTTGAGGGCTGCCCAGCTGGGTCTGGTGAACACTGTCTGCACACACAGGGTATAACTTTCTCCATTATTAGTGTGGACTCCAAACGTGATGCCTGTGGGCATCTGTTGGGGTGAGCACAGTTAAACTGTCCCGGGATGACTTCTGGATAGGTACAGGGAGGGGACAGGCAGGTTGGAAGTGAAGGGCTGGGTCTTTTTCCAGAAAAATCGTGGGCCAGGGGCAGAGGGGATGCTAGGAGCTTGACTAGGATTCTCTCTCCTTGAGGTTCATCACTTTCCTAGGAACTGACTACAGCTAACTTCTAACTTAACAGACCTCTCTGCTGACACCCAGGGAGGAGAGAGAGACAGGGGCGGGCAAAGGAGGGAGGCAGGCTCCAGGTGCTGGTGAGGGACTTTACAGAGGCGGTGGCTGCCCTTCCCCACTCACTTGGACACATCCCAGACAGCAGTGGCTTTGCGGCCATCACATAAATAATCAGAGTGAGGTAGGGAAGGGTGTGGCTGATCTTTACTCTTTGCCCTGCTCCTTATTCATTTTCTTCATTTTCATCCGCCGGTTCTGAAACCAGATTTTGACTTGTCTCTCACTCAGATTGAGGAGTCTGGCCACTTCGTGCCTGCGGTCCCTGGTGAGGTACATATTGAACAGAAACTCCTTCTCTAGCTCCAGCGTCTGGTATTTGGTGTAGGGACAGCGCTTTTTCCGGGAAGAGCGGGCGTGCAGCCAGTTGGCAGAGGGGTTGGCTGAAAGAGAAGCAGCGATAGAATCAAAGGAAGGAAGGGAGTGAAGGGCCCCAGACCAAGAGGGTGCATTCCATCTCTAGTCCCTGGCTTGCACTGGAGAAAGTCACCCAGGCCTTCAAAGTCCCAGACAGCATCCCCCAGTTGTCCAGGAGTTAATATAGACAGCTCCAAGTAAATAGCCCTTAAAGGAGATAGAGCCAAACTACCAGAGCATCTTCAAAGCTTCCACTAACCCAGGCAGGCTCCCAGCCTTTCTCTAATTGTATCCAAACAAACCTGGACTCAGGTCAACAGAGCTCAGTATAGCTGGAGCCACACTACCGGCTAAAGGTGGCTGACCTTGCCTCTAGGTCTGGGAGGAAAGGGGAAGAATTGGGTTGAGAAAGGAGTCCTGTTCAGCCACAGCCAAGAGATCTCTTGGCCCTTCAGTCCAGTCCCAGTAAACCCTGCCCAGATAGCAATCTCTCAGCTTTAGGCCAGAAAACAGCAGACATGTGATACCCACCTCCAACACACACCACAAATAAGAGTCCACATTTACAGCCAGGAACACCCAGCACACTCCCAACTCACAAGAAACCCAATTGCAACCATTTATCAATTGCAGCCCATGGACAGGGAAGCCCCAGGGCTCCCAGATAACTTATGGTGGCAATAGTCTCTTCCTTTCTGCTACTCAGCTCACAGTTTGGTTAACACAAGTTCAGGGAAACTGGGAAGCAAAACTGCTCCAGTCCCAAGGTGGGAAGACAGAGCTGAGGCAGGGCCCTTCACAGCTTACCAAGCCTGCTAACTGACCTTGTGTCGAGGCAAAGAAAAGTGTAATGGAGTTGCAAGAGGGGCAAAAACGAGGAAATAATGTGTGCAGGCTTTTCTTTTTTCTCTTCCGCATCTCTCCCTAGACCCCAGGACTCAAAAAAGTTCCTCCCCCCAAAGTGAAGCCTATTACAGTTAAGATCCACACTACCAGCTTCTCTGTCCCCAAGCGAAAAGCCCTGAATATCTATGTATATTTTAAAATTCAGTTCATCCTACACTAAGTAGCGTGTCTTACCAATTTGCAGCGCTATTTCCTTAATGTGATTGCCTGGGATGGGACCCGAAGCCACATTAAATATGAAAGAGGGGGGAAAACTGTTAATAATTGATCCTAGCCAAATGGCTGCTGTGCAATAATGGGCTTTCCAGGCCGAGTTTGGGGCCATGGGGTGAGGGCTCTGTTTGGGTGTTTGCAGGAGGTTTGGGAAGAGCTGTGTTCCGGGATATCAGCTCCTAATGACTCAACCTGGCAGGTTGGAAGTTTGGGGGTTGCATAGGAGGTGAGGAGGGGTAGAGGATGCCCCCAGAGGACACACTGGCCACTCTTTTGGTGGGAAATCTGACAAGGCAAGCAAGAACTAAAGTACTTGCCTAAAGGAGTAAGTGGTGGGGACTTGACCTGTCAATCTGCCTGTAATTGTTTGGGAACTAAGAGCCCCCAGCCGGTTTCCCATCTCAGCCAGCAATGCTGGGGTTTTTAGCAAGGGTGCTTTTAGGAATGGGAGGTGGTAAGAAACTCTCCACCAAGGGTAGAGTTCTCCGCCCCTGAGCAGTCCTTCCTCCACCCCTCCCCCGGGTCCCTTCGGGACGGGACGTCTTCTCCTCCATTCTGGAGGTGGGCCCAGACTTAAGCAAGTGATTCCCAGACTCTGAGAAGCAGACTGTCCCGGCTAGAGCTCCAGAGCCCCGCGGAGAACATTAGAAAACACAGAGGCAGGAGGGCGGGGGACCCTGGAAGGAAGTCTCCTGGGGAGGGGTAGGTGCACCCGAGAGGGGACTCCGTCACAGCATCCTGTGCTTCCCCCGCCCCTCCCGGCGCCGGCTGCCACCCCAACACGGCTACTGAGTGAGATCTGCTAGGAACAATCCTCAGCCAAGCTGTTGCATCGCAAATAAAATCCTAATGAGCCCCCTCCCCCTTCCCCTTGGCCGGCGGGGACCGTCTGCAAGTGGCTCAGGCGGCTCTGCCGGGTGCGCTCCAGCCCGTGCCCGCGAGGGCTCTCGGCCACGCTGGCCACCGGCCCGGCCCCCTCGTTCCTCTAGCAACTGTCGCAGCTCTCTCTCCCCCTTTCCAGCCGGAGCCTGGGGAGAAAGGAGGAAGGATTAGAGACTTGGTTCCCCGAGGCTCAGTCCACGCGCCACTAGGAGGAGTGGGGGAGGCCTCAGTGTCCCCCCCCCCAGGGCACACAGCTTCTTCCAATCCAGGTCCCTTCCTTCCTCTCTCCTCCACCCCCTCTAGCCCTGTAGCCCCCGGCGCGCTGTCCCTTCACATTGTCCGCTTTATGGCCTCTCTCCTCCCCTCCCCCGGGCCTGGCCCGCAGCCTGGGGGGGGTGAGATTTCCTCACTTTTTTTTTTTTTTTTTTTTTATAACTTACTTTGATCCGGCCTCTCTTTGTCCTCGCTTCCTTCGCAAATTTTATTGTCCCCGTAGCCGGCTCTTTGATTAGACAGGACAGCCTCCCTGCCCGCCGAAGTTTCCAAACTGTACTCGGGCGTGCCCTGTTTGAGCAGCTCCCCCGGCGCGCCCAGCAGCGGCTCCGCCTTCACCGCCGCCTGGCCCTGCCCCGGGGTGGCCTCGGCGCGCGGCGCCGGCTCCAGCCAGGTGCGGAGGTACCTGCTCTCTGCCGCCGGCGCGCTCTGGGGCTGCAGGTAGGGGTGGTAGACGGACGGCAGGCTCCCCGACGCGTGCGGGCTCAGCGGCGCCCAGGAAGCACCGAACACCGGCGCTTTGGGCTGGAAGCTGCACGAGGGGAAGTCCAGGTGCTCGGCGTGGCCCGGCTGCCGCGGGTTCGCGTACTGGCCCGAAGGAAACTTGGCTGGAGGCGCGTCCTCACTCTCGTGACTTATGATCGAGTCGACATAATAGCTGCTAAGCGTCCCAGAAATGGACATTCTCAGACATTATCCGCGCGCTCGCAGGGGGAAGGGAAGCACTCGCGCCTCGGCGCCCAAGCAGGGAGAGGTGGCGCACGGACCCGGTGTAGAGGGCTTTCGGACGCGACCCCCCCAGACCCCCACCCTCCCACCCCCACCCCCAGCTCAACTTCTCAGCCAACAAAGTACAGTGGAGCAGCCCGGCTCGGAGCTCCTTGCAAAATGATTGGTCAAAGTTTTGCGGACTGCCTGATAAAGCGTCAGCTCCGACATAAATCAATCGGGCGAGGGGGCTGCGCTCGAGCTGTCATCCGTCCTCACCGCATTCCATATCCAGGATGGATTGTTTTATGCTGATGCAATGTGCTATCACGTCAGGGCTCCGGCGGCCACGTAACCTCAGCCAGAGCTGCCGGGCCGCCCGGGGCCCCTCCCGCTTTTGCAGGAAGGGGGGTTCTCAATATGGGGCGATGGGGGCGGAGGAAAGGCGGAGGCAAGCAGCGGGCTGCCTCTGGAGGGACGTGGCTGCGGAGCCCTCTCCCTAGGCGGGTTTGAGAGGGAGGGGAAGAGGTCCAGCAAACCGGGGGAGAGAGCGCCCCAGCCTCAGAGCAGCAGGGGAGGCCCGACAGGGTAATTAAAGAGGAGGTAGTCTTGTCACCCCCCCCAACACCTCCACCTCCACCCCGCAGGCTCTCATTTCCTGTCCTCTGTCCCCTTGACAGAGATGTTTATTAAACAACAGCAGCACAGCGACCCACAGGAGATGAAGTAAAGGGATGGGGAAGAAGTTGAGGGTTTTATAGGACAGTTATCCTCTTTGGAGGGGATTCAGGGCACAATTTGGGGAGATTTACAAGACTAGGCCCTTTTCTCGATCCTTCAGGGACTAAGAGAGGAAAAAGGGGAATTCAGTGGGACCAGTGTCCAAAGAATCATTATCTGGCCTGAAATCAGAGCGTGTCTGGGGCCAAAGGGACTCACCAGACCCTGTAACTAGTCTATGAAAGAGTTTCACGGGATTAACCAGTCTTATTTAACTCCTTGAAATTTCTTGGGCCTTTATAAAGGGCTGGGTCCATGGCCATTTCTTCTGTCCTTCGTCCAGAATCCTGAGACCGTAAAACTGTCCAAATGAGGAGGCTAATGTAAGAAATGATTAAAGGAGCTCTCCGGAAGTAGCGACAGTGTCCCCAAACAGCACAGTAAGCAACACCAGGTTACTGTCCATCCAAAAAGGGAAGGAGGCAAGCTAAATTCTTAATTCTCATGTTCAGCTCTGGAAGATGTCCAAATGCCAACATAGGGCAGTACCAAGTATAGCGGAGTTCCCAGAATCAGTCCATTTCCCCACCCTCAGCCTTCCCCGCTACAATCCTCTCATGGAGCTTCCAAATAGTGCATTTTATTAGCAGCTATTCTGCGGCCCTGCGCAGGGACTCCCCCGAGGCCACTGGCTGGCTTCCTGGCGGCTCTCCCAGCTACTGTCTCTGCAGCTTCTGCTTGGGTGCAGACGCATCCCTGCGTCTAGGGCCAGCTCCTAGACAGGCTTGGTTTCCTCGGGTTAGGTGTCCGGACAGATTCCTTGGCTGTTCTCTGACTCTAGACCATTATTAGACAGACTGCTCCGCGCGAGCCATGACATCTTTCTTACCCTTCCCTTCTTTCAGGGGAAAAAAAAAGTGGAACCATTCTAACTTAAGGTTATATCTTTTAGCCACTACCCCCTCTGCCCAGTGGAAGGCTGCGATCATCTCCGCACACGCACACACACTCCCGCCCGCTTGTCTTTCCAAATGAAGCCATCTCGTGTCATTACGTGTGAAATACGAGGGCGAAGCGCCATATTTCTTCACATTATAGCGATTTCAAAATGATTTTTTAAAGATCAATGCGGGCGCCCAGCCGGCCCCTTCAATTCCACCCACGCTCTTGGAGAGAGACACAGCCCAGCAGATCCGGAACCAAACAGCGTGAAGACCTGTGTTTTTTTTTTTTTTTTCATGGTATCCAAATGAGGAAACAAAAATACTATGTAATTTTTTCTAAGTTGCCGTTGGAGGCTTGGGAAAGTCAAGGGAGCTTCCTGAACCTGCCATGAGAAGCTGGGCCTGGAGCGAATGAATCACGTTCAGGGCAAAGCACCTGTCCCTGGTTTGCTAGACATATGGAGTCTGCTACCAGTTTTACCTGTAATAAATATAGTCTTCAGGAAAAAAAAATCCCCTCCCCAGCCATAAATAACAGCCTTATGAAGCATGTCCAGGTGGGTATATGATTTTCTGTAGTATATAAATTAGGGCCCAAAAGGACACATGAGCTGTGGGGATGGGACATTTTTATTTATAGAAAAGTCATAGAGCAAGGCTGCTTTTAAGAACCAAGCTGTGCAGGCTCTGGACTCTGCCTGCTGCCCTCCAGGCTCCCATTCCTCTCCTGGGCTTTGCTGTAGACTCTCCACAAGGAGAGAGGAGTCAAGGGGCCCCTTCGGTTTAGGGGAAAAAGTCATTGGAAGAACATTTGAGCTCCTAGCTTATGCCCTGCAAGAGTGAGATAATCCATTTGAATTTAGATTTGTGCAGTTTAACTGCCTAAGGAGTTGTCCTTAACCCTGGTGGCTCCCAGTGTTTGGTGAAGAGGAGACCCAGGCCTCTTTCTGAGTCATGAGCAGTTTTGGTATTTGCTCCAGATGCTGTAGGGTAAGAACAGTGTGGAGGAGACAGGTTTGAGATCTGTCTTTCTAGAGACATGCTTTCAGAGGACAGAGAAGGTACTTTTGCCCTCATCTCTTGAGTCTGTACCATCTCATCTCCCTGCAGCAGCAGCAAGCAGGAAGACTCACACACCCTTGCTGCCAAGCTTTCCAGAAGGGTTTGCTGCCCCAAACTGGAGTTCAACCTCAACAGAAGCAAATGACAAAATGCTCATCAGGGTGGGTGCCCCCTTAAATGCTCTGTGAACCCATGGACCCCTTAAACCTTCTTTCCTTCCTACCATGCCAGAGCAGAGGACCCAGAATTGTGGCCCCTGGGACTCAGAGTCTAAAAGTACTTAATTAAAGTGACCCTACAGTGGGGTCACTTTGTCCAGAGGGCAAAACTACTCTGCACCCTGCCCCCAGTGCTAAAGAGAAAGAAAGAAATCCTGTATTCTCCGTAGCCTCTGTTGTTCCTTACATTGGAGCCTGGGCTGGAAGCATGAAGGAAGCAGGGAGGAAGAAGGCAAAGCCCCTGACCATGCAGGGGCCCTGGCAGCCAAGGAAGAGCAGGAGGCAGATGCTGACTGGAACCAGTCCGTAAGTGCCTGTTCTTTGGGACAGCCTTTGATATATATATGGGGGGGTCTGTCAGTAACAAGAGAAAATCTGGGGGTTGAAAAGGGACCAGGGGTGGTGGTGAGGAAAACAGTAAATGAGAAAATAGTTTGTGTTTGAACAATAAGCTAAAGCTGAAGTTGATGCAGCTGGCTTTGAGCAGGTATTTCTCCTGCATGTCTGTCTCAAACCAATATTTCTGTAAGGGAGCCTACTCTTCAAATATGCTCTATTCCATATTTGCACAGTACATATAAGTACCTTCCCAACTGTAATACTAGATGTGCCTGGGCACAAACATTTATGATCGAATTGTGTATATGTGGTTATATGTATGACTGCTGCAAACAATGTAGATTAATGGTGATTCCGTTCCTGATTTTAAAAATATGACCCAAAGCTAGTGTACAATTGGGGAAAAGCCCACAAAAACAAACAAATAACAAAAACCAAACACACCTGTGGAGAAGGCAAAATCCTGGGCTATTCATGCTCCTACTTTTTGGTTATAAAATATGAGCTGATATGGAACCCTCGCTTGAAATCTGGTCTCTTAGTATTCAAGCAAAATTCATATTATATCTTCAAATAAATGTGTGTGACTTAAAAGCTGGATTCAATTACAGTGTTCTACCGGAACATATTCTTGGATGGTGAAGGAAATACCTCCAACTGACCCAGAAAAGGTCATGAAATTTGGTGACTTTTGTTATCCAACCATGAAATCCTTTACGGCGTATCTTGCCCCAACTGGCGGGGACAGCATGCACTGTGTGATACTTATTTCAAGGCAGTGATAGACATGGGGTGGAAATACCATCACTTGTATCTAACACAAATGTAAGGAGAAGTACACAAACTGAGTGTGACAGTCCTCAGGTAACTGTGGGGGTCTTACCAAAGCACTGCTGCACACAACCAAATTGTTCAAGTCCCCTGTCTATGTCCCCCAGCACCAGAGACATTTCTTCTGACCCCCAGGATCAAAGCCCCGATCTACTCTGGGATTCAGAGACTTTTGAAGATACTTGTTCCCTTGTCTAAGGAAGGGAAGCCAAGATCCTAGAACCCACACCCTTTGTCCAAAATAACCTTCAAACAGGGGTTACCGATCCTTAGGCTAGGCACTGGGACTCAGACCTGGGTGCTTCCAGAGTCCCCAAGCAGGGACCTTAATTGGAAAGTAAGCTCTGACAAACTTCCCTCATAGGATGTCAGAGGTCAGTGGCCCCACTGGACCTGAGGAATCTTCTTCCCAGCTCTCAGCCACCATGGCTACCCAAGACAGTGGGAGGTGGCAGAGTCCTTTGGGAGGAGGCATCAAGGAGGCCAAACGGGGTGGGCAGAACGGAAAGGGTTGAGCAGGTAGAAAGCTATTACACAATTGCTTCCATAAAACCTTTGGCTGTTGTAAAACTCTCTGCTTTCCAAAGACTTTATTTTCTCCTTTCTCTCTAACATCCCCTTTTTTCTTTTCTTCTTCTTCTTTTTTTTTTTTTTTTACAGCACCTTTCCTGGGAGGAGGTGGCCAGGGTGGGTGGGGAATCAAGGGGTGGAATATGGTCTTGCTCCTAGTGCCTGGGCAGGTCTCAAAGGGTTCCAAAGAGAAGCAAGGTAAGGCAGGAACATTGGCCCACAGGGGAAGAAAATGATAAAGGATGGAGTTTAGGGCCTTTCCTCTTCAGGACAGTGACTTAAAGGCAGAATATCTCTTGCTTTGGGAGTGGGTCTCCTGTACCCTCTGCCTCTTGTTCAGCTCCCCCATCCCCAATCCCCGGTCTAAATAAGCCTGGCGCCAGAGTCC